GAAGTCCAATTTTAAAGACTGACTGAAAGGTTCATTTTATCTTTTGATCATTGTCTCCACCTGGGATTTAGTCTGGTAAAATATCCAAATTGGGTTATGTATAGTTAATGCCTGGGTCTTCCTAAATGAAGGTAACAGGATCCTGAAAACAGCTCCCATGCAAGCACTCAGGGTAACAAATTTATATGGACAGAGATAATTTTGCTTCACATAAAATGCAAAAAATGCAATAAATAGATATGGAAAATATAAAACACACTAACAATGGCTTCCTTGCAATCAGACTAAACTTAAGGCTACCATTAACATAATACTCTGAGAGTGATTTTTCAGTCCCCTACATAGTGCTTTCCAGATCTATAGTGTGGTGTGGACTTCCCTCAGAAGACAAATACACTTTGTGGCCGCTGAATAAGCAGAAGTAAACAAACTGCCCCATCACTCTGCAATTCCCATTGTCATATAGGGCGTAAGGACAGACAAATGTTGTCATTAGGACCCATAGATACCATCAAGGATGTTCTGGAGCCAGAGTGAACCACTGCCAAGATCTAACAGTTAAAGATTCAGTGTGAACATTTACACCTTGGAAATTGGCTAACATTACAGATCAGGGCTTGAGTTATTATTTTGTTTGTTCCCTAGACTTAAGAAAGTGACACAGAAAAATGCTAATCATGCGAAACAAACTTCAAATGTGTTGGAATACTTTTTTGCCTCTGGAAAGCCAAGTGTTAAACATTTCCTAGCATATCTATGCACTGAGGGAACCTTGAGCTGTGGAAGGACATGCCATGGGAGGGCCAGCTCTGTGTGGCAGGGTGGCAGGATGTGGTAAACCCAACATGCCAGGCTGAGGAGCTTGTTTTAATCCTGGCCAAGGGAGGGTAATTATAGATTTATGAACAGGAAAAGTCTCCTTAGAAAGACTATTTTTTGGAAGCAATGTGGAGTCAAGAATAGATAGAGAGATTAGAGGCAAGGAGACCAATTGGGAAGCCATATTGGGGGGGTTAGGCAATTGGGGTTAGGTGACTTGCTTAGGGTCACATGGTTATTAAGTGTCAACTGTTTGGTCTGAGGCCAGATTTGAACTCAGGTCCTCCTAACTTCAGGGCCGGTGCTCTATCTGCTGTGCCACCTAGCTGCCCCCGTGGTAGGCCATATTACAATAGACCAGTGAGAGGTGACCAGAATCCAGACTGGGATGGTGGCTGTGTAAGAGGAGAATCAGAGAATTCTATGGAAGTGGGAAGTGACCTTAGGAGCCAGCTACTCTCCCACAAAAAGGAAGGGATTCTCACTATAACAAACCAACAAGTGGTTATCCAGCCTCTCCTTGATGACCTCCAAGGAAGGAGATCACACTACCTCTCCAGGCGGCCTCTTCCACTTCTGGACAGCTTTAATTATTAGGGGGGGTTTCCTGACATTCAGCCTGAAGTGTTTCTTTGCAACTTCACCCCCTGAGATTGGTCCTTCTATACTTTCTCTTCCTCTTCATCATGTATATCTGACCATTTAGCAAAGTGGTAGATTCATAGCTCGAGATGGAAGGAACCCTAGGATAGCATCTGTTCAACTTCTAATCACATTCAGGAATGACCTCTACAATATCCCTGACAAAAGACTGTCCAGCTTATTAATGACTTCCCTAGTCTCTCTCTACAAAAGTCTTGGTACGGACTCTATCCAACAAAATGCCACAGCAGCTATGTGGAGGCTGGGGCAACAAGGCTTCCATCAACTCCCATACTGCTCCCTGATGGGCCTGCAAATAAACCCAGGAATAAGGATAAAAGGAGATCAAGGTGAAGCCTCAGGGCATGTTCTTTGTCCCTGCTTTGTTATGCAGCCTTGCAGGAACAGATTTCTGACTTACTATTGCATTCTGTCTAATACAAACCACACTGATTTCCCTACATCTACTTACACCTGGATAAACCCAATAGCCTCTTAGCTCTTCCCCTTACCTTCAGTGTCTATCTCCTCCAATCAGTCTTACCTTCCAAATTAATCTTAAACCTCATCTTTCATCATGACACGCCTCTGCTCAATAAGCTTCTATAACTTTCTTTTGAAGACTGAGGATGAAACCCAAATGCCTCTGCCTGCCTTTCCACACTCTGCAGAATCTAGCTTTACCTGATCTTTTCCAATTTATTTCTCCCTAATACTCAAAATTCATTCTCTGACTTAGTCAGACGATTTCCTCTCTGTGCCTCACCTAGAACATAGTGAGGCCCACTTTTGTATGCTACAGACTTTTTCCCTTTGAATGGAATGCTGTCCTTTCTCTCTTCTGTTGAGTTAAGTTCATCCTATCCAACCTTCTAAGCCCCATTTAAATCCTTCCTCCTCCACCAATCTGCCTCTGACTGTGTCATCATTCACTGAGCTCTCTTCCTCTTGAAAATCTCTAGAACTTGCAGTCTGTCCCATAAAACTGAGGCCATAATTATTTACTCCACTGTGAATATAACAGACTTTGTTAACTGTCCTCCTGAAATCCTGATGCACTGGGTCTACCATATTTCCCTGCCATACCAGGCTAGGACTGCTATTAAAAAGGAAATGATGTGACTGGGGAAGGATGACTTGTTAAATCTTGACCCAGTGCATTTCCCATAGGCCTTCACTCAGGTGCTTTCCAACTATGCACAGGTATAATGATTATTTTTGTTTGTCTCCCTAGAAGGTCAGTAGGGACCATATCCCTTAGTGCTACACCCCTCATTCTTTGGGGCAGTATGGCATAATGGGTAGAGCCAGGAAGATCTTACTAGCTGTGTGACCCTGGGCAAGTCATTTAACCCCAACTACCTAAAAAAAAAAAAAACAACAAAAAACAAAAACAAAAACAAAAAAAAACTAAATATTAGCAAGATTTTTTTCTTCATTGAACCTACATCAGCTTCTCTGCACCTTCTGCCCCCTGTTCCTAGTTCTAACATCTGGGGCTAATCAGAAAAAGTCTAATGATTACTAATCCCTCTTTCTTATGGCATCACATTCAAATACATGAAGAGCTATCATGTCTTCCTTTCTCCTTAAGTTTAAACAACACCAATCCCTTCAGTGGGTCCTCATGTGACATGGGGTTACATCCCTTTGCCATGCATATCACAGGAAATACTACGAGGCCTATTGCTGGGCCATAGCTGGCCAATGGGACTCCATGTTTGACCACTGATTGAACTAGGAAGTTCCTGTGTTCCAAAAAATTGCCTTGGTTGGTTACACTTAGAGTTCGGATGTGAGGTTAGCAAATTTCATCTAATCCAGGGGTGTACGTTTAGCAAACTTTCCTAGTCACAATGTTCTTGTGATGGAGCAGGTGGGTCTCAGTCCAGACCACCTGCTAGATGACTAACTCCTCAGGTCCCCTCCCACTCAGGCCTGTGAACTAGCCCAGCAACAACAGTCAGCTATAAAGACAGTGACCCAGAAGATGTAAGATCTTGATGGGGACGCACTGCCCAAGCCCGTGAGGCATATCTATGGGACTGAAGAGTGAGGAGCCACACACACACTGACATGCCTGGGAGTAATACACTGCCTGAATTGTGATCTTTCCTTCCTGGTACCTCCTCACCAAACCATGATTTACTCTGAAATTAGCTGACAGCCAGGAAAGGAAACGAGGTCATTGTCAACCCTGATGCTGTGGATGTTGGCCCAGTTTTCTACTGCAGCCAAAACTGTCAACAGATGCTGGGCCTAAAACGCTCATTGTAGAGGTGGCAAGCAGATGGAATATTTCAAATCAGAGAAGGCAGAGACAGGGTCAGGCCTATGCTAACCTGTGACCTAAATACACTTGTCTCTGCCTCCATCCATCATCATAGCGTCTCTCTGCCTCCTCCCTCCCCTGAAGTCCCACTTCACATCTGCTGCCCAAGGAACCCAACCATGGTGACCCAACCAAAGCCAGTTCTGAGCCTCTTCCTGATATACAAACTTGCTGTCCTGGCCCCATTCCCACTAAGCCCTGCTCCTAGTGAATTGTCCTACTGGGAAGCAGGGAGTAGGGAAGGAAATAAGCATTTGTATAGCAACTAGTACCTGACAGGTACTATGTGAAACCCTTTTTATTAACATTATCTCATTGGATTCTCATAAAAATCTCATGAGGTAGGTACAATTATTAACCCCATTTTAGAGTTTGGAAAACTGAACAAACAAAGGTTAAATGACTTGCCCACAGTCACACATCATTTGTCTGAGGCCAAATTTGAACTCATATCTTCCAGACTTAGCACTTTATCCATGTCCCACTAACTGCCTCATAAGCAGTTGTAACCTAAAATGAGACTAAAGTGAGACAGTGCCTTCCCTCAAGGAGCTCATAGTCTACTAAGGGAAATAAAGGATACATAAAAATGCATATATTCACACTAATACAGGAGGGAATTATGAAATGCTTCTGGAAGAAAGAGACATTCTGACCTTTGGAAAGGAGGGAAAGGACTTCCAGAGACTGAGGTGAGAAAGGAGAGCATTTCATGCCTTGGGGCAGGGTGGGGGTACAAGAGCCTCACACAAAGGCTTGAAGACAGGAGATGGGAGACTGCATCTAGGGAACCTTTTCTTTGGAACCAATGGTGGATTATTATAGAGAAGTTCAGAATGTTTGAAGATATGCCCCTAACTTGTTGAGGGACGTATCATGGAGGATGACCAAGTTCTCACAAAACATCCCTTCATGGCATTGCCAGGGCCAGAATCCTGGACCACATAGGACCATCTCTCTGATCCAATGGGATGATTCTTATATTTTAGTATTCTTACAGGAATAGGGCAAGGTTATTTAAGTGTGGTGGAGATCTAACCCAGCATACATCTAATAATTCATACTGCATCAATCTTTCCAGTTGGCAGCCTGCCTTCTGTTTATACAATAGTATTTGTCATTTTTTTTGATGTGTTCTATTTCCTCTTGGCTGTTATTGCAAAGTCATTGTAATCTCCCTCTGATATATATGTGTGTGTGTATATAGAGTGAGAGAGACAGAGAGAGACAGTGTGTGCATCCTGGCCTGGTTTCCTTCAGGAGCAACAGCCCCTTAGAAGAGAGAACTTGCCAAGACAAAATGGTAAGTAACAGGGTCCGCCTTTGAAGGGAAATGAAGGCTTATTACTCAGTTTTTGTGAGGTAGGGTTTTGAGTTTCTTCTGAAAGTCGTCAAGTCCTCAAAGGGGCTCCTTGGTGAATTTCCTCTTGGGTTCGCTGTAGAGAGGCAGTATGATGTAGTGGACAGGGAGCAGGGCTGACAGTCAGGAAGTTCAGGGTTCGAGTACTACCTCTCACATATCCTGGTTGTCTGTCTTCTACTTACCTCTCTAGGTCTAAAAGTGGCAAAGGAATCATCCCTCTGCCTTGGTAGAGACAGTTCCTCCTCTGGAGGCCCCACTGTCCATTAAATCACAGATATGTTATTTTTATCTCAATTTAAAATGCTAATTACCTCTATACTGCCATCCCCAAAGTCCATTGTCATAATGCCCCTCTCCAAACTGCTGCCTTCTACTCAACCATATCAGCAACAGGCTACCCTTTTCCCGACATGACTGCACCCATATTCAGGCAGTACTCTGTGCCAACATCATCATCCCTGTCAATTTCCCCACTTCTCTCCAAAACCTCTTTCACTCCCAAATGAATTTGTCCCAAGTACAAGAATTCAGAGTCTTTCACCTGGCTTAACAAACCAGCGCACGTGAATAGAATGGAACATTATTGTCCTTCAAGAAATGACAAATATGAAGAAATCAGAAAAACTTGGAAAGACCTGAATGAACTCATGCTGAGTGAAGAAAGCAGGCCCAGGAAAACTAAGCCAAAATTGGTATAGTGATGGAAATGAAAGAAAAATCCCCTAAAAGTTGTCTGAACTTAGATGAAATGCAATGACCAATTTTGCTTCCAAAGGATGGGACACAAAATGTATTTATTAATACTAAGAATAGCATTAACATGCTATTATGCATTATGGTCTATGCAGTAAGAATAACTAGCATCTATACCGCATCTACTATGTGCCAGGCACTGTGCTAAGTGCTTTCCAATTATTATCTCATTTTATCCTCACAACCACCCTGGAAAGTAGGTGCTGTTATCTCCATTTTCAATGCAGGAAACTTAGATAAACAGAGGCAAAAAGTGACTTGCCCAGGGCCACACAGTATTTGTCTCCTCTTGTCAGAAAAGTGGGTAACTACGGGTACAGAAGGTAAAATATACAGCGGTGCAGTGGATATTTGAAGTCAGTATGACTAAGGCTTGAACCATGCATCAGCCACTAGGTTGTGCTCTCTGAATGAGCCAGCGTCTTGTTAGGAGCTTGTCAAGGCCTCAGTTTCCTCATCTGTAAAATAAAGGTGCTGGACGTAATAACCTCTAAGTTCTTTTATAGATCTAAATCTATGACCCCGGGATCCTATGAGGCATTATTGTTTAACTGTGTTGGTTGGTTTTGCTTGACTATTTTAGGTAATAATAGCACTTTTTCAACATTCTGTCAACAACACCCTTACAACAACTCTAGGAGGCTCTCATTGTCCCCATTTTACATATGAGGAAACTGAGGCAGATAGAGTAAGTGACTTGCCCAGGGTCCCACAGTTAGTATCTGAGGCTAGATTAAACTCAAGTCTTCCTGACTCCATTTCCACTGCCTTATCCACCGTGCTCCCTTGTAGACTTTGTTATTACAAAAGAAGGGTCCATTGCCAGGAAGATACTATATAATGGGCTGTGACTGTGGAATAAAATAAAAGAGCAGCTATAAAACTTAAAAAAAAAAACTCTAGCCATCTTCCCTCCCACCACCTTTAATCTTTCTTTTCCCTTTTTTTAATAGAATGCTATGTTAGGTGTCCTCTTTGCCTTGGCTATCTTTGTGACATTTTGTGATGCTGAGTGCACATTTTTTCCCTTGGAGATCTCTCCAGGAGGTGAACCAGAAGGTAAATCTTTATTTACAACTGTTTCCTGTCTCTAGAGAGAGGAGGGTTTGTTTAGCAGGAAAAGTGACTGGGTCAAGCTTGAATGGCCTGTTTCCACTGGAGCCAAGATCCATGGGATGGGAGTAGTGGGTAAAAGGTGGGAAAAGTGAATTTAATCTAAAGATGTGCCTGAGATAAAGGAAAGAGGCAGGTGTCTAAACATACATGTAAGGTCTTTCCCCCATCATCTTTCTTCTATCACATAATTAAGAGGCAGTACTTACTTTCTACATATAATATGTTTCTAAGGGGCAATGTACATTAGTGATTAGAGAGCTAGGATTGAAGTTAGGAAGACCTGGGTTTAAATCCCACTTCTGACACTTTGACTAGCCCCATCTGTGCCTCAAGCCCTTACCTACTCAGTCACTCAATTCAACAAGCATCTATTAAACACCTACTGTGTGCAAAAGGTTGCAGTTACAAAGGCAAAATTAATCATGGAAAGAAAATTAAGAAGGAAAGTGAAGAAAACCTAAAAAAAAAAAAACCACTCCCTGGCTTCATGAATCTTATGTCCTACAAGTTCTGCTAACACTTATCTTCCAAAGTAGCATATTAGATGTTTCTCCTGTCACTGTGAAGGCTTGGGGAATGACTTAAGGGCCATTCTTGATTGAACAAGTTGTGAAGCATTGGAGGAGGTTGCCGAGGGAAATGGTAGAACCATTTTTGGAGGTCTTTAAAAGTGACCCAGATTTTCCATTGTTAGGATGGTTTAGTGTGGTGTCATTCAAGGCGGCCTTAAGGACTTGGTAAAATCTTTTCTAAAGGCATCAATTGCAGTTCAACAGAAGATTTGCCATGTGTTCTGTCTTAGGTTGCCGGGATTCTAAAGGTGAATTGCACGCCTTCAACACCCAATGGGAATCCAATTGTATGCGCTGTTCATGTAATTCAAGATATGGACTAGTTTGCTGCAGCATGTGAGTTCAAGATTAACCCTAAATAGACAGAAAACAACAATCTCTGAGCTGGAAGGGACCTCAGGGCCCATGAAGTAGAACCCATCTGGGAACCAGAAACCCCTACTCAACACGTGCCCAATGGGCCTTTGTTTGAAGGCCTTCAGTGAGGGTGGCATCTTCTGGAGAGTTCTCATGGTTAGGAAGTTTTCCTCCCATTGCACTTAATTAAAAACTAGACTCTTCTCAGCCTCCATCCCCAGCTCTCAGCTCTACCCCCGAGGCCAAGCAAGGTGAGAAAGTCTATTCCCTCTTCCCGATGACAGAAGTTTCTCTTCTTCAGGCTTTGATTCCTGTATTGATCCTTTTATGACACTGATTTTCATTCTCTCCATTTTTGTTATCCTGTGAATATGCCCCAGATGATCAATTTCCTTCCTAGATGGTTACTCCATGAAGTGAACACGATATTCCTGATGTGATCCAATCAGGAAAGAGTAGAAGAAGAATTTAACCTCTGCATGTGACATTGGGCTTTGTGTTGGGGCGACCTGAGTTCAAAACCTTCCTCAGACAAATACATGTTATCTGTGTGACCCTGGGAAAATCATTTGACTTTTGTGAGCCTTTGTTTCCTCATACATTAAAAAAGAAGGTTTTGACCTTGATGACTTCTAAAGTCCCTTTCAGTTTGAAATCTAGGACCTATGATACTTTTCTATTGAAATCTCAGCTTATAACCTGATTATCTGTGTGACCTTGAGCAAGTCACTTGACCCGTCTCAGCCTCAGTTTTCTTATCTGTTAAAAGAAGAGGGGTTTGGACTTGGTGACTTCTAAGGTCACTTCCAGTTTGAAATCTAGGATCCATTATTCTTTTCTATTTAAATCCAAGATCAGACACTTATTAACTGTGTGACCCTGGGCTTTAGTGCAAGCTAACTAGCACATAAGACCTAATGTGTTCTCCATCTATACTTGTGCGTAGATTGAGATGGCTCATTAGGTGGCTGGGGAGGACAGGTGGTACATGATCAGAGGCTGTCTGGAACAAGGGTAAGAGTCTTAATAAATTATTCATCAGTTCCCAAGGACCATCCTAATCTTTGCCCAATTTTCTTCCTCCAACAGGGTGGTAAAGCCTAAAGACTATGACAATGTTGCTTGCAAGGAAATTTTCAACCAGCAGTCCTGTACAATAAGTGTTGTAGAGAAAGCCAATCCCGCTGTAGCCTGTAACGTCCCACGGTATTCAGGTTAACAACTCAATCTTCTCTTCCTGATGTTGCTGCCAAGGTCATTGCATCCCAACGGAACTTGTAGATTCTTGAAGCAATTACCCTTTCCTTGGAATTCAGAGCAGCAGGGCCTAGGAACCATATGGCCATTACCTTGGATCTTCATTATATTGAAAACATTGTCAAATCTTAGGCACACTGATTCAAACCACAAAGTGCCATCTCTGTGGCTTCTGAGATCCTCTAGGCATTTAGGTTGTGCCCATACCTCCTGTAACCTGCTGTCTGATGGATGCCCAAAGAAAATATATTGTCCTGTAGCATGAAATGAATCTGTCCTTTTCCTTTTAAAGAATCAATGTCCAAATTAAGTATAGAAATGAGATCTTTGTGGTCTTTCTCTGGGGAGATTTCTGGGACTTACACTTTGGGACTGAAACACTATATGCTTTTTTTGTTTCTACTCACCTCCCAAATCTGTCTGAGAATTCTTGATTTCAATCCTGGAAGAATCAAGATTACAAATAACCCAAGGAATAATGTAAAAATAGCTGAAAGGGGCAAGATGGCATATTTACCAGTGATGATGACTTTCAGTTGAGTAGTATCATGAAATACAACAAGCATATATATATACACACGGTGGAGAGAACAGGGAGGTTGCTCAGTCACATAGTGAGAATGAGAGATAACAGATGGGCAACCCAAGCATTTCATTGGTATCCTTGAAATAATAATTGAATGAGAATGTATCATACCTCTCACTCTAAGCATAGTACAACCCTGAATCTGGGAAAGTTTCTGTAAGACTCCTACTAAGATAGTGTGATATTGTATAAAAAGTGATGTATTTAGATTCAGAGAACTTAAGTTCAAATCTTCTTTCAGTAACCAATCAAAGCCATCTCTTATACACTTACCATCAATCAATCAACAAACATGGATTAAACTCTTGCTATGGGCCAGGTACTGTCCTAAGTTCTGGGGATAGAAAGAAAGGCAAAAATACCTGTAACATTCCCTCTGGAGCTCACTCTCCAAACTCACTTGGCACTGACAGGTTTGTTTCCCAGAAGAAAGAACATTACTTCTTCCCTCAAGTTTCTAGGGTTGTCTAAAGGGTTGTAGTTTCTATTGCTGTTCATGAGTCCTTTATCAATCACCCAGTAGGACTATCAGCTTATAGAAAGGGTATTTATTGAGAAACTATAGTAACAACAATAATTGATAAAACATTCTACCAATGATAGGTAGTATTTATCTAAAACTAAAGACAAGTATTATCTGAAATGGGGATAAGCTAGAAGCACTCCCAAGAAAACCAGAGGTGAAGCAAGGATGCCTGTTATCACAACTATTATTTAATATTGTACTAGAAATGCTAGCTATAGCATTAAGACAAGAACAAGAAATTGAAGGAGTTAGACTAGGCAATGAAGAAACAAAACTATCAGTCTTTGCAGATGATAGGATGGTATACTTGTAGAATCCCAGAGGATCAACTAAAAAACTAGTTGAAATAATTAATAGCTTTAGCAAAGTTGCAGAATATAAAATAAATCCACAGAAATCCTCAGCATTTCTATATATTACCAACAAAGTACAACAGTAAGAAATAGAAAGAGAAATTCTATTTCAAATAACTTTAGACAATATCAAATACTTGGGAGTCTACCTGCCAAGACAAACCCAGGAACTATATAAACACAATTACCAAACACTTTTCGCCCAAATGAAGTCAGATCTAAACAACTGGGAAAATACCAATTGTTCATGAGTAGCTAAGGCTGATACAACAAAAAAAAGACAATTCTATCCAAATTAATATACTTATTCAGTGCTTTAACAACCAAACTACCAAAAATGTTGTATAGGGCTAGAAAAAGTAATAACAAAATTCATCTGGAAAAACAAAAGTTCAAGAATATCAAGGGAATTAATGAAAATAATGTGAAGGAAGGTGGCCTAACTGTACCAGATCTCAACCTGTATTGCAAGGCAGTAATCATCACGACAATCTGGTACTGGCTAAGAAGTGTAGTGGTGGATCAGTGGATTAGACTAGGTACATAATACACAGTAGGAAATGACCATAGTAATCTTGTGTTTCATAAGTGCAAAGATCCATACTTTTGGGACAAGAACTCAATATTCGACAAAAACTGTTGGGAAAACTGGAAAACGGTATGGCAGAAACCAGGTGTAAATGACCACCTCATACCATATACCAAGATAAAGTAAAAATATGTTTGGACATAAAGGGTAATACCATGAGCAAATTAGGAGAGAGTAGGATATTTTACCTGTCAGATCTATTAATAAAAGAAGTATTTATTATCAAACAAGAGATAGTGTTACAGAATATAAGTTGGATTTTTATTATATTAATTTTAGTTAATATAATTAATATAATATTAATAATTATTAATTTATTATATCAACATTAAATTTATTTATTATATTTAATATTAAATCAAAGAAGTTTTGCTCAAACAATCCCAATGCAACCAAGATTACAAAGAAAGCAGAAAACTGGGGAGGGGGTGATTTTCTACCAAGTGTCTCTGATAAAGGCTTTCATCTCTCCAATATATACAGAACTGAGTCAAATTTTTATTAATATGAGTCATTCCCCAATTGATAAATACTCAAAGGACATGAACAGGCAGTTTTCAGATGAAGAAATCAAAGTTATCTTTAGCCATATGAAAAAATGCTCTAAATCACTATGAATTAGAGAAAAGCAAATTAAAACAACTCTGAAGTGCCACCTCACAGCTATCAAGTAAGCTAATATGACAGAAAAGGAAAATGATGAATGTTTGATGTGGGAAAATTGGAATACTAAGGCACCACTGGTAGAGTTCTGAACTAATCCAACCATTCTGGAAAGCAATTTGGAACTATGCCCAAAGGTTTATAAGACTTTGATTCAGCAATACCACTAATAGGTCTAATAGATCCCAATACCACTAATAGATCCCAAAGGGATCAAAAAAAAGGAACAGGAAAAGGATCTATGTGTACAAAAATATTTATAGCAGCTCTTTTTTTGGGGGGGGGGTTAGGCAATAAGGTTAAGTGACTTGCCCAGGGTCACACAGCTAGTAAGTATAGCAGCTCTTTTTGAAGGAACAAAGAATTAGAAATTAAGGGGATACCCATAAATTAGAGAATGACTAAAGAAGTCATAGTATATGATTGTGATGGAATATTATTGTGCTATAATACTATAATAGAATATTTTACACAATAACAGCATTATTATATAATGATTAACTGTGAATGACTTAGCTATTCCCAGCAATACAAAAATCCAAGACAATTTTTTTAATGTTTTATTTTTTCCCAATTACATTTAAAACAATTTTAACATTCATTATTTTTAAGTTTTAAGTTCCAAATTCTATCCATCTCCCTCCCTGAGATGGTAAACAATTGATATAGGCTATATGTGTGCAATCATGTAAAGCATGTTTCCATATTAGTCATGCTGTGGAAGAAAAAGAAAGGGAGAAAGATGGAAGGAGGGAGGGAGGGAGGAAAGAAGGAGGAAGGGTGGAAGGAGGGAGGAAGGGAAGACAGGAAAGGAAAGGAAAGGAAGGAAGGAAGGAAGGAAGGAAGGAAGGAAGGAAGGAAGGAAGGAGAGACAGAGAAAGGGTATGCTTTGCTCTGTATTTAGACTCTATCAATTTTTTCTCTGGAGGCAGATAGCATTTTTCATGAGTCCTTTGAGATTGTCTTGGATCATTGTATTACTGAGAATAGCTGTTATTTATAGTTATTCATTATACAATATTGCTGTCACTGTGTACAATGTTCTCCTGTTTCTACTCACTTCACTTTGCATCAGTTCATGTAAAGTCTTTTCGGGTTTTTTCTGAAAGCATCCTGTTCATTATTTCTTATACCACAATAATATTCCATGAAAATAATATACCATGACTCATTCAACCATTCCCCAATTGATGGGCATCCTTACAATTTCCAATTCTTTGCCACCACAAAAAGAGCTGTTATAAATAATTTTTGTACAAATAGGTACATTCAAAAAATACATAGAAAAAATTCCTTTTTTTTTTTTCATTTAGTCTATCTGTGATACAGACCTAGTAGTAGTATTGCTAGGGTCAAAGGGTATGCATAGTTATATAGCCCTTCTGGCATAGTTCCAAATTGCTTTCCAGAATGGTGATCCAAGACAATTCTGAAGGACCTATGATGAAAAATGATATCCAGCTGCAAAAAAGAACTGGTGGAATCTGAATGAAGATCCAAGCATACTGGGTGGTTTTTTTTTTCACTTTATTTTTCTTGGGGGTTTTTGTCTGTGGTTTTTTCACAACATGACTAATATGGAAATATATTTTGCATGAAATCACTTGCATAACCTTTATCAAATTGTCGTGTTCTCAATGATGGGGGAGGGTAGGGATGGTGGGAGAGAATTTGGAATTCAAAATCCTAAAAAACAAAAGTTAATAATTGTTTTTACATATAATTTAAAAAATAAAATATTAAAATTCAGAAAATAAAAATAAAACATTCTACCACCAATCCAGAGACACATTCTCCTCTTGCACCCACATAAATTCCCTAGGGAGAATAAGCTCAAACTTAAAATACAAACATGAAGTACACACATAGGGCAGAGGAGGCCAAGGGGCACCTATTGACTCTTGGCCCTGTTTATGGAGTCCTCACAAGTTTCCTCTTAGGTTCAGGTTTCTGCCGGATTCTAAAATTCAGTGTCTACATAGAATTTGTAGACAATACTTCTCTTTGTTATAAGGGGTAATGATCCCTGAAGCTGCATGCACTTCCTGGGACTATCCTTCCACCTTCTTCTTCAGTTGCTTCTGTTGTTGGCCATTGACATGCCAGCTGACTCTACTACTGACTCCAGCTGTAGGGGAGACCTTTATGAGGGCTCTGATGAATCTTCTATTCTCACTGCATGCCTCAGCATTGCCATCTTAGACAATTATTAATTCACCTAAAATCAGGAAAGAATAACCACAAAAGAAACAGAAACAAGGAATATCTGTCTATGTTCTGTAAAATATACCAGAAAGGACAAACTCAAGCATATTCTGAGGACTGGGCCCTCATTGGCAAAACCCTACACTATACACAAAATGGCTCTCAAAGAGCTTACATACTAATGGGGGAGATGATTATACGTAGATAGATAGATAGATAGATAGATAGATAGATAGATAGATAGATAG